CATACTTAGACTACTCGGAATGATACCAAATTTGTGTGCAAGTCTTAAATTACCATACGGAACTATTCCCAGACTCGAAATTCCAGAGGGACCTCGATTACTCCAAAACATACTCCAAACCAAATTTAAATAACTTTAAAACCTTCAAATAGTCAACTTTCACTGTTAAGCGCCGAAATGCCCCCGGTTTGTCCAAAACCCGGTCCGAACATACGCCCAAGTCCAAAATCATCATACGAACCTATTGGAACCGTCAAATCCCGATTCTGAGGTTGTTTTCTTAAATTGTTGACTGAAGTCAAACTTGGCCTTTTAAAGCCAAACTAAGGAACCAAGTGTTCCGATTTCAACCTGAACCCTTCCAAATCCCGAACTAACCATCCCCGCAAGTCATAAAATAGTAAAAGCACATATGAGGAGTCTTATTTAGAGGAACAGGATCCTAGAAGGTAAAACGACCGGTTGAGTCGTTACACGTTAGGCGCCATCACTGCCTATAGGGAAAATTGGGTCGTGCGAGTGGTTATAGTTGCACCTTCTTTTACCCCACTTTTCTTTTGGAGTCAATAATAAAATAAAATATTTTCTAACGATAAAGTAATAAATTATAAGTCTGATCGAATATAAAATTGTTCGATTTCGAATAACAAAAAAATAAATTTGATGCATTTAACCAAAAAAGACAAAAATTAGTGACTTGTGAAAGACGAGTGGTCCAAATGGTCCTTAATGTACAATCGTAGTCTACTGCCAAAATTTGACCATAGTACTATAGTAGGTGGGTTAACAAAAATAGATGTTTTTGTTTTTTACTTGAATGTTAAAACCGTGTCTATTGACAAACCCGTAGTAATAGGGTTAATCCTGCCATTGTGGAACAGATAAGGTTGTCTTTTTAGGATCATTTGGATATTCTTGAAAAAATAGGGTTTGATGATAGGTTATTCGTGCAGATCGAGTTTTCTTGAGCAGAATATATATATATATATATATATATATATATATATATATATTTGTTTGTTTTTTCTAGACTTATTAGGTTGTCAAACTTTATTATTCTTTCGCACATATCGGGGGGCTTTGTTTTCCTTATTTTTTTAAGTCCAAAAGATTACATATGTCACCTAAAAAATAGTATTACAGGGAGTTGGTAGTGCTCTTGAGTACAAATTAAAAGGAGGTCATTGCCCAAAGTAAGTGGTGGTATTTGGTAGCATAAGAGCTAGTACGATATGAATATTATTAAGATTATAGCAGTACACTAGCACTGCATCTTTATTTCTCTTCTCTTTCTCTTTTCGGATAGTTAGTTGGTAGTTGTTACTGTACATTCCATTAGTTAGTTATTCTTTTCCATTAGTTAGTTACAGCTATTAGGAGTTGGGTAGTTAGTGGATTAGCTGTA